GAAGCATTAAACAACGTGTTGTGCGTGACTTCTATTGCTGGTAATAGTTTAATTCAGACACAACTTTTCTGCAGATCATATTCTTACGTTAACTAACGTGGTTTATACACAACAGTACATTACCTGGGCGCGGGATATATGATGAATTGAAGCAATTACTATGACTAATTACATTAGTCTTAGTTGGAATCTATATAGTTTTCCTATTGTAAAACTTTGAATAATTTATACTTCCTAAAAGAAACATAAAATTCAGAAAAAAGGAAAAAAACATAAAAACATCGGGTCGGGCTGCCCGACAAAATCATGTGGCCCGCCTGGCTCGGTAAAATTTTCCAACCGGCCCGTCAGGCCCAACATTAAATATTACTTGGGCCGGGTGGCCCGTTTCGAGGTCTGGTGTGGCTGTGTATGTCAGTGGGTATTAACAGAGACAACACCCACACCCCACCCCAGGTGGAACATATTTGTCCTGCCTATTTTTCAGTACAGAAAATGTTTGCTCTACATTAAACTGTTACAATATTTAAGGTAAATAGGTCGCCTATCGGCCATCTCATGCAGGTCTTTTCTCTCTTTCTTCCTGTCATATGGACCCTTCTCAGATGTAGTGTAGCTAGTGAATCATCATTTAGCTGCGCCAATTATATACAGAGAAGACAACGAGCTTCTCTGTCACCAACTAATCTTTGCTATACAATTCTATTAGGAGATGCTGATGTAATCAAAAGATTAAGTAAGATATATTGAATCGTATCTTTTTTCTATTTATCAAACACGATAACGTTGTTTTTGGTTATATTATTCTTCAGAGTTTTTTGAATCACATTTAGAAAGTAACATTTCATTGATTCTTTTTATTATAAATTATTTAAATAAACATTGAATGTTTGTTCAAAAAGAAAATAAATTTAATCTTCTGTATAAACGAATAAAAAGAGATATGCATCGTAGTTCCCGCACAGCAGCCGTCGTCCACAAACAAAGGTATTTTACAGTATTGCGAGTACATGTAGCTCATCTTCAATATCTTCTTATTTAATGATTTTTCTTTATAAAATGAACCTTCATCTTCATGGAGTTTTAAAAGTATAGTGCCAGTACTCACTTACACAGTCTAATCTTATTATTAATCAAAACCGTATAACTGGCAAAGAAAGAGACGAAAGCTTCTTCAGCTTATATAGCAATACTGCATCATACAGCTAAATGAATGTTTTCATTTTTATTGTGGTGTCCTTTCAGTGCAGTTAGGGCTGTACAATCGAGAAAATATACTGATGCTATCCATACTGCATGCTAAGTGAGAGTGATCTATGTTGCGTAAATGAGATCTAACATTCTCATAATGCCTCAGCGTGGAAGTACAAGTCAAAAAATTGTTACAAGTATTTCTACTATTGTATTTATATATGGATGAATCCATTAACACCCAGCCACTTTTTGAAAAAGGTTTTCTTATCAAATTTTATGTGCTGGTTCGATGGAAGGTGTACAGAACATAGCTTTGGTCGAAAAAAATTGTCATTCCTATGTAAATTACTGAAGATTTGGATCGTTTTCTAGGAACATCTAAGGGGTGTCATATACGTTATCCCAATATTTGAGCCTCATATTTTGCCTAAAGATGGAGGATCACTAGACTAGCACAACATCCAAAGGATTCTTTTTTCAATGTATTATGGCCAACATACAAGACTTTTATAGAATACTAGTACTACGCATGTGCTATAAATAAAAAGTGTTTTTGATCAAAATGATGCAAAAGTAAAAGTCGTGCTTCTTAAAGATCTTGTATGTTGGCCATGATACATTGAAACAAGAATCCTTTGAAGGTTGTGCTAGTCTAGTGATCCTCCATCTTTAGGCAAAACATGAGCTTCAAATATTGTGAAAACGTATATGACACCCCTTAGATGTTCTTAAAAAACGATCTAAATCGCCAGTATTTTACATATAAGTGAGAATTTTTTTCGACCAAAGCTATTTTCTGTCCACCTTCCATCGAACCAGCACATAAAATTCGATAAGAAAACCTTTTCCAAAAACTGGTTGGATATCCATGGATTCATCCATATTATTTGTTACTTTCTTATTACTTTATTACTTTTAGAATTATCACTTGTTACTTTATTACTCTTATTACTTTTCAAAATTATTGCTATTGCTAGTAATAAGTAATAACGTTATAAGTAATACTTTATTACCGGTAATAAAAATGTTGCAGCCCTAGTAGTGACGGACCCAGGCGATGGCTGGAGAGACTCGACCCCCACCACCAGAGAACTTTTTAAAAATGTAGCTTATTCGCCAGGAGGAGGGGCTCAAAGATCTGTATGGGGGGGGGGGGGGAGCTAAAAGATTCATATGGAGCAAAGGGGAGGGGGCTCACAGGCCTGTATGGGGGGGGGGGGGAGAGCTCAAAGGTCCCCAGTCCGAAAGCCTGGCCCCGCCCCTATTGTAGAGAGCGTTTAGTACGGCGGCGCACCGCCCCCCCCCCCCCCCACCGACAATATCCTGGATACGCCACTAAAATGAACACGTAATTTACGAACGAAAGGAGAAAAGAATCGACTATAACATTTTTGTATGTATTCCCTAGATAAAATTCTTTCTTCCTCTAGACATATATGTGTTCAAACATGTCTGTAGTTATGCATATAATCAGATGTCCATGTGGTATCAAAATGAGATGAAAATATGTAACTTTTTCACTAATTTCTATTTTTTTCTTAAGACGTCATGATTGACGTAGATTAGCTAATCGATTTTACGTTCACAGAAGGCAATAAGTGTTGATTTTTTATTTTGTATAAAAAAAATTTTAACTTGAAAAAGTCGTATCCATCTGTGAAATATTCTAGATACTTCATAATTTACTAAAAATTCTATGTTTCAAAAGAAAAAACCGTCTGGAGTCATTTTTTCATAAAAAATCGATCTTTTCGGTCAATATTGTAAGCGCTTTTTCACCCCAAACGAAAGCTTTTTTTGTAACTTTTTTTACCATTTTGTAGAGGAGAGAAAACTGTACAATATATCTCAAAATCAGCTTGGGGGTCAGGGAAAAAATTGAATGGTAGCCGATATACTATAAAAAATGGACATATTTTTAAGTAAAAAATGCTCAGTCCTTGACAGTATTTAATAAATAACTCTGGGTTAGTCCATTAGAATGGGATATGTAAATAGCTATTTTGGTTCAGCTTTCAACGCTCTATCGTTTGATATATGGCACGAAAAATTTCGTTAATTTTTTATCATAAAAAAAACTGAAATTTATAAAGAAAATTTTTGGTCATATTTTCCACATATTCTCGCGAGTGCATGAAAGTAAAATTAAGCTAACTTTTCACCAGCTCGACCGAATGCGCTAAAAATTTGGATTTAGAGGTTTTAGATGATGCTCAACAAAATGAGAACATCAATTCAAAAATTTAAAATTTGACGAGTGCTTCGATATCAGGCATGATACTCGATGGTCTCATGGATCCTCTCTTAAGATGAACATCTTTTTGGTTTTATGATTTCCAACAACAACAACATGAACTGAACGTTGACATTCCAACTAAAACACAATTATTTCATTGTAAAAAATGAATTTGAATGATGAACAACACATACTTGAATATCGTGTGTGTTCGTCTGCTTTGTGTTCACAAATGAACATGATCGAGAAAAAAGAATGAGAAAAAAAAAGTGAAGAAAATTTTTTTCTTTCCTTTCTCTCGTCCAAAACTTATCGTTCATGTTATCATTGATGATCAATGATAATATGACATAATTAATGTCCTTTTAACGTATAAATATGAATGATTTTCTATGTAAAATCATTCAATTTATTGAATCATATAATAATCTTTTTCTTTTCTATTTTAGAACGAATGCAACAACATGATATGGAATAATTCAACATCGAACAAGACCATAAAATAAAATGTAGGTATTAGTTTTAATTTTTGTTTTTGTTTTCTTTTTTATATCATATGAAGGATGGTAAGTTCTTCTATGATTTTCTTTAATAGTTCATTTCTTTTCTTTTCCTTTTAGTCATCAATATCATCGCATCACGTGGTCGTTAACAGGGCGAGTTACTTTTTTTTCTTTTTTGAGTATGAGAATAGAGGGTGAGTTCTGTCCGTTGAGGTTAGATTCGCGTTATATGAAGGACTTCCGGGTAGTCCCTAAAAACCCGGCTAGGAACTGCTTTGGTGTCCGTGGCACACGACTGGGCCCCCAGACTCACTAACACATGACATCGGGTGGGTGCATATGGATGACGTGGGTCTTCCCACGCGTGCATGAGCCTTACGCTCACCACGGCTCCACCAGGGCAGTTTCTGGTCGCGCGCGCGCGAATAGAATAAGCATCCATTTCATCAATTCAACTTGAGTTTATTTAAAAGGAAATAAAAAACTCCATCGTTATGAGTTCCTCCGATTGAAAATCGTTGAACACGATTATTTCCATAATCGGCGACATAGAGATTGCCTTGTCGATCGAAGGACAAATCATCAGGATAGTTGAACTGATTTGCTCGTTTTCCTTCACCATTTCCACCCACAATGACAGTGCCTTGTTTCGCTCCTTTAGGCCAACGCATCACTCGATGATTCTCGTTGTCTGACACGTAGACAGTCTGTTGTTGATCGACAAAGATGTAGGTCGGAAAGTTGAGTCGATTGCCACCAGTCGCGAGAGTTCCATTCTTGTCTCCTATTTGGTATCGTCTTATTTCATGTTTCTTGTAGTCAGAGATGTAAAGATATCTCTCATCATCCATGGTCAATCCCCAAGGATCGATATTGCCGATGAGGATTTCTCCTTCAGTTGTGCCACTGCGACGAGACCATCGCACAACTCGTCGATTGTCTTGATCACAAATAATGAGGCTATTAGTCTCTTTGTCAATCAGCACATCGGTTGGAACATTCAATTGATCCAATCGTCTTCCTGCGCCATTGTCACCAGCTACCACTTGTCCCTTCGTATCATCCATCTTCCATTGGATGATACGATGATTGTAGCGGTCAGCGATGACAATCGTTTGATCATCATCAACGAAGAGACCAAAAGGACGCTTAAGTTGATTGGTGGCACTGCCATATCCGTGACCTCCAGCAACGGTCACACCATTCTGTGCCCATCGGGCATCGACTGGAATATTGGGAATTACTACAATGAACGAGAAAAAGAATCGTTATCATCGTTATCTATGAATAGCAAATTCTTCTTCTTCGAAGGTAACTTGATAAAACTTTCGAGAATGTCTTTCTCTAACATGCTCTAAACAAGCGAAAGGTTCTTCTAGTTTCATAGGCAACAAAAAAAAGAACTTGGTAACGATTCTTATGAGAATTCTTTGAGATTCCTGGAAAGAGTTCTTTTCGGAGAGAAGAAGAATTTCTGAAATACTGAGAAGATTCTATCTGGAATGTGTAGGCGGTTGTTGTAGGATTTGAGGGCTGGCATAGATCCAGAAAATGACCACTTTAGCAAAAGTCCGCTGAAGAATAAAGAGACTTTATTACTCGGACAAAATATTATCAAATTTAACGAAAAGTAATATTTTCTATTCACGTCCTACCTCTTAGCGCACGTTTCGCTTAATTTAGCGGACTTTTTCTTTTATTTACCGGACTATTGTGATACTTTACTATTCATATGCATCACTTTTCTATCATCAACGGACTTTTGTCTTTTCTATTGATGACTATTACTTCTTAGTCAAAGGACATTTCGACATGTCCATTCGTGACGGAATCACGTTTTTTAAGATTGTGCCTTGAAGGGTGTCAACTTATGTAAGTCGAATAAAGCTGATATTGTTAGAAAGAAACAGTAGTAGTAATGCTCTATGTTTAAG